GCTCAAGTGGTAGAGCGCTTGCCTTGAGCTGAAGAGCTGAGGGACAGCGCCCAGGCCCAGAGTTCAAGCCCCACAACCGACAAAAAAAAAAATGGAGGTATGGGCTGGGAAGGTGGCTCAGTGGTGGAGTGCTTGCCTTACATGCATGAGGCCCTGGGTTCGATTCCTCAGCACCACATAAGCAGAAAAAGCCGGAAGTGGCGCTGTGGCTCAAGTGGTAGAGTGCTAGCCTTCAGCTGAAGAGCTGAGGGATAGCGCCCAGGCCCAGCTTAAAGGCCCCACAACTGACCAAAAAAAAAAAAAAATGGAGGCTCACACCTATAATCCTAGCTACTCAGGAGGCCTGAGGATCACAGTTCAAAGCCAGCCCAGGCAGGAAAGTCCGTGACACTCTTATCTTCAATTAGCCAAAACCAGAAGTGGCGCTGTGGCTCAAGTGGTAGAGCATTCACCCTGAGCTGAAGAGCTCAGGGACAGCACCCAGGCCCCAGAGTTCAAGCCCCACGACCAACAGAAAAAAAAAATAGAGGCATGGCTCAAGTGGTAGGCTGCAAGCCAATGAGGAAAAGCATTGGGTAGCAAGTTTGAACCCCAGAGTCTTGGACCAAAAATAAATGTTTTGATGATTTTTAATTCAGAACATTAAATCCCAACTAATTCACAATAAACAAGCTAAATAACTGTAAAAGTTTATTACTTACCGAGGTTGTGGATCTAAGTAATTCTCTCTCTTCTTTTAACTGTTCAACTAATTTCATCATTCCCTGGGCTTCTTCTACCTTTCCTTCAGATCCCAATTCCTCAATCTATGAAAGAATAAAAAATAGTTAAAATTCTTTCCTAATCAAACTGTTTTCCTCTACATCTCATTAGCATTTAGTGATTTCGTTTTCTGAAACTTGTTTGGATTTATTCCTTGTGACTTTTTACAGCTTTCATAACATGCAACAAAATGATGTGCAATTTGATTAGTGTGGACATATGCAATACATACACGAAATCATCAGCACCATCTAGATAATGAACACATCCACCCGACAAAAGCTATCCTCAGCCAGAGCACTAACTACTCAGGAGACTGAGATCTAAGAATAGAGGTTCAAAGCCACCCAGGCAGGAAAGTCCATTAACCACAAGAAAACTAAAGTGGTGCTGTGGTTCAAAGTGGTAGTGACAGCCTTGAGCAAAAAAAGCTCAGAGATAGTGCCCAAGCCCTGAATTCAAAGCCCCATGACAGACTCCGTCCCCCTCACCCCCCCAAAAAAAGCTTTCCTTACATACCACTTTGTTCTTCCTGCAAACTCAATCCCATATATGTGCCCTAGAAACCACTGATTTGGCTTTATCACTACAGAATTTAGTTTGGATTTAGCTGAATACATAATGTTCTTTTTGGTCTGGCTTCTTTCAGTCAAACTAAGATTCCTTCCACAGTTAATGTAGATAATTCCTCTTTATTATTAACTAGTATTCCATTGCCGCCCTCCCCTTCCCCCCAATGCCAGCTTGAACTGGGTGCTGTCACTAAGCCTCTTTGTGCTCAAAGCTAGTGCTCTTCCACTTGAACTACAGCACCACTTCCAGCTTTTTCTGAATAGTCTCATGGACTTTTCTGCCCGGGCTGGCTTTGAATGGAGATCCTCAGATCTAACCCTCAGGAGAGAGGATTACAGGCATGAGCCACCAGTACCCAGCTAGTATTCCATTCTATAGCTACACCACAAATTAATTATTCATTTACCTATTACTGGGCATCTGAATTATTACTATTTTAGGGGAGGACATTACAAATAATCTGTAAATGTCACTAAGTGGATATATTTTCACTTTTCTTGGGTACATAAGAGAGGAATGGCTCATAGTGCACTTCTAACCTTTTTTTTTTGGGGGGTCCCGTCATGGGGCCTGAACTCTGGGCCTGGATGCTGTCCCTCAGCTCTTCAGCTCAAGGCTAGCACTTCTTCTGAGTAGCTAGGATTACAAGCATGAGTCACCAGCACTGACTCGCTTTTTATTTATTTACTTATTATTTATTTGCTGGCTGCTTTTATTTTTTTGGGGGGGAGGGGTATCCTAGGGCTTAAGTATAGAGCCTGAGTGTTGTACCTGAGCTTTTTTTTGCTCAAGGGTAGCACTCTACCACTTGAACCATAGTTCTACTTTCAACTATTTTGGTAGTTATAGATATGAGTTTCAGGTTCCTGCCCAGGTTGGTTCTGAACCATCATCCTCCAATCTCAGCCTTCTGAGTAGCCAGGATTACAAGCCTGAGCCACTGACACCTGGCATTTCTACCTTTTAAGAAACAGACTAAGAACTGGGAATGTGACTTAGTGGTAGAGTGCTTGCCAAGCATGCATGAGGCCCTGGGTTCGATTCCTTAGTACTACAATCACAGAAAAAGCCAAAAGTGGCACTGTGGCTCAAGTGGTAAGTGCTAGCCTTAAGCAAAAGAAGCTCAGGAACAGCGCCCAGGCCCTGAGTTCAAGCTCCAGGACTGGCAAAACAAAAACAAAAACCAAACAAACAAACAACAACAAAAACAGATAAAATCTTTCCCAAAGTGCTGATCTGTTTTTTACACCCCACCAGCAGTGTTTGAGGTTTCCAGTTGATGAATCCTTGTCAGCACTTGGTATGGCCAGTCTTTTTCATTTGGGCCATTCAAACAGATGTTATTATAGTCTTGCTACTTAGCTCCAACTGGTTTTGAACTCCAACAGATTTCAACCTTCTCAGTGCTGAGATTACGATCATGTACTATCTTTCCCTGCTGGCATTATGGCTTTCATTTGTATATCCCTGACTACTAATGTTAAATCTTTTCAATTTAATTATTGAGAAAGTGTTTTTCTCAATTATTTTTTTACATTAATGCATATAATCCTCACCTGCTGTAGAAGCACATCAATTTTGTCTGTTAGAACCTGAATTTTCTCCTCATTTTTGCCTGTTGGGCCAGCAGCCTGTTAAAGAAAATAAAATTTATTATATTATCAATAAGTAAAGCAAAGATAACATTCAAGCTCAGTGATAAAGGTATAGCTAAGTGGTAAAGCACTTGCTTAGCACATACAAGGCTTTGGGTTCAATCCCAAGTACTGACAAGGAAAGCTTTTGAAGCAGGGTGCCAGTGGCTCATGCCTGTAATCCTAGCTACTCAGGAGAAGGCTGAGATCTGAGGATCATGGTTCAAAGCCAGCCCAGGCAGTAAAATCCGTGAGACTCTTATCTCCAATAAACTACTCAGAAAAGCCGCAAGTGGCAATGTGACTCAAGTAGTAGAGGGCTAGCCTTGAGCATAGAGAGGCTCAGGGACAGAGGCCAGACCAGGCCCTGAGTTCAAACCCCAGGACCAGGAAGAAACAAAAAAGAAAGAAAGAAAAAAGAAAAAAGGCTTTTGAGATAGAACTGGCTATGTAGCCCAGAGTAGTCAAACTCAAGATTTCCCTGCCTCAGCCTGCTGGGATTATTAGCATACTTTGCCACACCCAGAAAGTAGCTCATTCCAGTAATTGCAGCACTCAGGATAAGGAGGCAAGAGGATCTTGAGTTCTAGGCCAGTCCTTACTACATAGTGAAATGTGGTCTAACATCGTCTCACTAGGTAGTAAGAAAGGAAAAAAAAAGTCTGTCCATCAGTTACATATTTTGTCCGTTACTTATATTTCAGGAAAAGCTCATGGTTAGTAAAATCAACATTTTACTAATGAAAGCTGAAAATGAACTCCAGACTCAAAAAGGGCTAGGAATCTAAGGCAGACTACCTAAAGCTTAAAATTTAAACCCTACTACCTCCATAAATACATAAATGTATCTGAGACCTAGTGTCACCCAGGATAGAAACTGTTAGCACAAAATTTTCTCTAGCTCGCTCATCTCCATTAATTCTGCAGTTAACAGATGGTTTTTGTTTTTGGTCCGGTCGTGGGGCCTGAACTCTGGGCCTGGACGCTGTCCCTCAGCTCTTCAGCTCAAGGCTAGCACTCTACCACTTGAGCCACAGCGCCACTTCCGGTTTTTTTCTTTTTTGCTTATGTGGTGCTGAGGAATCAAACCCAGGGCCTCATGCATGCAAGGCAAGCAAGTGCTCTACCACTGAGCCACCTTCCCAGTCCAACAGATGGTATTAAGCTAAGATCTACACAAGTACATGAATTTCTCCATTCCCTGGTCACCCAACTTCAATCCCCAAGTCCTGTTTTTTCTATAGTCTTCATCCAAACTGACATTTCTTGTCTGAATCACTACAAAAGCTTCCAAATATCTGACTTGCTTCTTTCAGTGAGCCCTTCAAAACCACTAACCATTCCGCAGCTAGAGCCAGCTCTCAAGAAATGTAATTCAAAGTGGCATTGGTGGCACACCTATAATCTCAGCACTCAGGAGAATGAGACAGGAGGATCACCAGTTCAAGGACAGGTGGGTCTAAATGGCAAGATCCTGTCTTAAAAAGATGAAATTCAGAGGGCCCTACTTCCTGATAGAGTACCTCAGTTTTGCTGTGGTTCTGTGTAAGATGTAACCCTTCTTTCCTTTTTCAACAGTCTCTGTTTCATGTCCCCTTTCTGGAATGGTTTCCCTGGTTTTTGCCAGACTTAGCTTCTTTGGCTTGGTTTCCAGTACAAAGGTCATTTGTCAAGGGAACTGTCTTTTCCAATTGTGCTCTCCATGGAGAGGAATTTTCTTTAGATACCCCTGGCCTCTTTCCACATCCTACTCCCTTCCTCATAGAGCTGAATAGTTTATTCTGTAGAAGGCAACAAGGATAACCCACCTGTACTGGTTTCCTTGCTAAAAGAGTGCCCAGATTGTTGGGAATGTAGTTGAATGACAGAATGATGCCCAGCATGCACAAGGCCCTAAGTTTGATCCCCAGAGCACAACGGAAGGGAGATAGGGGGTAGGGGAAGAAGGGAGGGACCAGATTAGGACTAAAGGAGGTGAGGGGTATAGCTTCAAAAGACAAGTTTCAAACATTAGGTCTCTAGATCTTCAGAGAACAAGGATCCTTTACAAAGATTGTACTCATTTCATACTTACTCCGGAGGATTGCTGGTTTTGAGATAATGCCAAACGAGCATGGCCTCGTCTGATTCTACGTTCTACCTCTGCAAGTAAGCTCTGTAAGTATCGCAAAAAATCTCTCTCGTAGCCAACTTTCATAAAACGAGAACTCTTCTCATACCTGATAAAACAAAATAAACATTTATTCACTACGTCATATATTGTATATTAACTTGTTTCAAGGACTTTGTATTTAAGACGAAGAGTAACCAGGAATATATGAAGTGAATTTCTGGTTGTCTCTCATATGCCGCCAAAGAGAAAACCAAAAAAGTACAACTTACTGTTTTCGTAGATTTTCATCATGAATTTTTTCACATGGACCTGAGAAAGGGAGAGAAAAAGGAAAAAAAGTGTTTATGTGACATTTAACAAACTTTACTTGTCATACACCTAATAGCTTCCTATCTCCAAAACAGCCAATTCCAACTTTTAGCTGTCTTATGGATCTTTTACCTCTAAATTTATAAATGTTATGACTACTTTGCTTTTTTAACTTACCAATCTTTTTTTTTGGTGCTAGTCCTGGGGCTTGACCTCAGGGTCTGGGCACTGTCCCTACACTTTTGTGCTCAAGGCTAGCACTCTACCATTTGAACTACACTCCTCTTTCAGGAGGAGGGGTGGCTAATTGGAGATAAGAGTCTCATGGACTTTCCTGCCTGAACTGGCTTTGAACTGCAATGCTCAGATCTCAGCCTCTGGTGCCCAACTTAATTTACCAATCTTACATATTTAAGCTAAACAGCTCTTAGTGTTTATTTTTTGACCACACAAATAGTATTCTCTGTAGAATCAAACAAAATGTGCTTAAGAAATATGCTTGGTAAGAGTTCTCTTGGATTTTTTTTTGTTTGTTTTCTGTATTTCTACTTGTTTCTCAAACATTTGAACTCAGCCAATGAAAACTCACTCAATACTAATTTACCTTGAGTATTAAAATACAGCAGAGGCCGGGACCGGATGGCTCACATCTGTAATCCTAGCTACTCAGGAGGCTGAGATCCGAGGATTATGGCTCAAAAGCAACCCAAGGCAGGAAAGTCTGTAAGACTTTTATCTCCAATAAAACTACTAAAATTAAACAAAAAAACCCACAGTAGAGTAATTAGTTCTATTAGATTAGCCATTTGTCTTATTTGAATCTAGGATGTTAAGGCCAGAATGGAATCTGAAGCCTGTAACTTCTGCTACTTAACTAGGGACATGGAGATAAGGAAGATAGTGGTTCAAAACCAGCCTGGACAAAAAGTTAGCAAGACCTCCACCTCAACCAAAAAATAAAGAATAAAAATTAGAGAACATGCATGGCACCATTATCACTTATTCTACTACACACCCCTGTCTCTTGGTTTTGTTAATTAATCTATTATGTTGAATGCTTTCTTGAAATGTCTGAATAGTACTCCCTGGCAAGTGACTGATTTTGTTAATTAAAAAATATGGCTGGAAGTTGGTTTGGCTAGGCAAGGTTTGTCCTTAAAGGGCATTTCCAAATGAATATCAGACACTCAGACTTTCTTTTAGGAGATTCCCAGAGTCCATACTCAAAGAGACTACCTTCTCTAAAAGCGTTAACTTTCCCAAGAAAGAAATCCTTTCTCTTCTGAGGAAAAGTATCTAGCTATATCCTTCTATAGGGCAGGAGAATCCCACTTATAAAGGACTCATTTAATCTCTTACAACCTCATTTTACTCACTACTGACCTGTGCTATATGGAATTTCAAGAAGATCTTGACTCTTCCAGCCCTAATGTGCTCCTCGATACTCTAAGGCAAACACTGTGATGTATCTAGAATACAAGTTATGTACCACACTTGAGAGAACAAGTCAACTGTGTGCTGTATTTTTTGTTTTACATGACTAGAGTTTAGTTCTATTCTTGCAGAAAATAACCCTCTTTCTTCCTGGGGTGTTGGGGTAGGAGAGGTAGGATCAACAGGTGCAAGGGACTACTTACCACTAGTAGCGCTCTACTGGGGAGCAATTTTGTCCCCAGAGGACATTTAGAATTGTCTGAAGACAAATTTGGTTATCTTGGGTACAAGCTAGGGATTCTGCTAGACTCCTACAATGCATGGGAAAGTCAGTGAAAACTACTTCAAAATGTCAGCATTGTCAAAGTTGAAAATCTCTGAACTGAGGGACAGAAGGGGTGACATAGGCCAAAAAGAAATGTGCTCTTTACCTGGCTTATGTAACTGTAACCCCTTTGTACATCACCTTTGTAACAACATCAAAGAAAAATCCCTGAACTAATCTAGTGCTGGTGGTTTACACCTGTAATCAATCCTAGCTTCTCAGGAGGCTGAGATCTGAGGATCACAGTTCAAAGTTGGCCTGGGCAAGAAAGTCTTTTGAGACTCTTATCTCCAATTAACCACCAGAAAATACAAGTGAAGCTGTGGTGGCTCAAAGTGATAGAACACTTGCCTTGAGCACAAAAACTCAGGGACAGCACCCAGGCCCTGAGTTCAAGCCCCATGACGGACAAAACGTTAGTGGGCTTTTAGGAAGAAGTAGAAATAAGACATGTGTTTAATTAGGCTAAAATTAGACTGATACAATTAACACATTCAAGAACTTCAAGTAAGAAATTAGTAATCCGCATCCTAGGCTCATCCTGTCTCAGCTTACCCAGTGCTGGGATTACAGGTATGTACCACTCAGCCCAACCAAGAAACATTAAATCACCAATTTCATAAAAGTTGCAAAGAAAATTCACTTACCAAGATCAGAGCGAGTATTTGTGAACAATTCCGCAGGACAAAAACCACAGAGATAATATTTACAAACCTAGTGGATGGAAAAGAAAGTACTTAACTTTTAAAAATTGCTACTTCAAAATTTTATTAGAAAAGGGTCCAGAAACTATTGTATTTCTTGATATACTCATATTTCAATCAAATATAACAATCTCACTTGTTGAACCTTAATAGTCTTCCACATTTCTAAATTTCAAGAAAGAAAAGATACTCAAGACTGACAGAATTACTGTCTACTTTTTAACTGTTTTCTGGCTCCATAATAGCGAGCAAATTTAGGAAGACTTCTCAGAATAAACAGCGATTTTTATATTAAAAAAACCTATACTACTGTGGGCACTGGCAGCTCATGTCCATAATCCTAGTTACTCAAAAGATCTGAGGACCATAGTTCAATGCCAGCATAGGTGGAAATGTCCATGAGACTCTTATCTCCAATTAACTAAAAAAGCTAGAAGGGAAGATAGCCTTGAGCAAAAAAGTTCAGGGACAGCACCCAGGCCCCAAATTTGAGTACCAGTACCAGCACGTGCACACACACAAAACAAACTTTACACTAGAGCTGGGGCATAACTAAAGTGGCAGAGCATCAACCCTAATACAGCAAAAAAAAAAAAATATATATATATATATACATAAATGTAATTTCTTCAAAAAACTCAGCTCTTTTACTGTTATTTATGTATTTATTTCAATAAAGGTACACAATGTATTTTCTCTTCATCCTAGTTTTTTTTTTTTTTTTTTCGGTCATGGGGCCTGAACTCTGGGCCTGGGCGCTGTCCCTCAGCTTTTCAGCTCAAGGCCAGCACTCTACCACTTGAGCCACAGTGCCACTTCCAGCCTTTTCTGCTTATGTGGTGCTGAGGAATTGAACCCAGGACCTCATGCATGCAAGGCAAGCACTCTACCACTTAGCCACCTTCCCAGCCTTCGTCCTAGTTTTTTTAGTACCACTGTACCTCATATCTAATTCTGTAATATTACAAACCAAGTCATAGTAATAAAATTCTAAGATACTGCCTTTCTGTCACAAAAAAGTTCACTGTCACTATATGGATTACCAATGCAAAATTATCATCTGATGTCAGATGCTAGTGATAATGCTACTGAGGAGGGTGATATCTGAGGATCACTTTTCTCTAGGGAAAAAAGTCCCAGAGACTCTCATCTCCACAATAACAAGAGCCAAGCTGGAGGCCAGGTGAGCAAATTAAGCAAACACAAGGCCCTGAGTTCAAATCCCCAATACTGATAAAAACAAAACAAAAAAACCATGACATATGAAATAATGAAAAGGCTGTGGATGTGGCTCAGGTAAGTATAATATTTGCACAGCATATACAAAGTTCTGGGCTCAATATTCAACACCACAAAAAAATTAAAACGAGTGTTTTTTCCCCTAGACACTTAGAATTGAATGCTAAATATGAATGTCTCAAAGGCTTTATTACTCAAAGCAGTGTAGTACCTTAAGCTATCTCTAGAAGAATGTTACAATGCTTATCTAAAGATTCATTTATCGGCTAGACACTGGTGGCTCATGGCTACTCAAGTGGCTAAAGTATGAGGATTGAGGTTCAAATCCAGTCCAAGGCAGACAAATCCTTGAGACTCATATCTCCAATTAACCAGCAAAAAAAATAAGCTGCAGGGGCTGGGAAGGTGGCTCAGTGGTAGAGCGCTTGCCTTGCATGCCTGAGGCCCTGGGTTCGATTCCTCAGCACCACATAAGCAGAAAAAGCCAGAAGTGGGGCTGACTCTCAAGTGGTAGAGTACTAACCTTCAGCTGAAGATCTGAGGGGCAGCACCCAGGTCCAGGGTTCAGGCCCCACGACCAACCAAAAAAAAAAAAAAGCTGAAACTGGAGATATAGCTTAGGTGGTGAAAAGTCAACCTTGCTTTCAAGATGGGAAGGGGAGGTTTGACTTGAAAACTTCATTTTATTCTATGTTTTTTATGTTTTCTTTAAGGGGAAGGGTAAAGGAGGAAGGAAGAGATTTTACTTAAAATTTTCATATACGGGGCTGGGAAGGTGGCTCAGTGGTAGAGCACTTGCCTTGCATGCTCAAGGCCCTGGGTTCGATTCCTCAGCACCACATAAGCAAAAAGATAAAAGCCGGAAGTGGCGCTGTGGCTCAAGTGGTAGAGCGCTAGCCTTGAGCTGAAGAGCTGAGGGACAGCGCCCAGGCCCAGAGTTCAGGCCCCATGACCGGGCCCAAAAAAAAAAAATTTCATATACATATACATTTATAAATAAATTTTTTGGCCAGTCCTAGGGCTTGAACTCAGGGGCTGGGCACTGACCCTGAGCCTCTCTGTGCTCAAGGCTAGCACTCTACCACTTGAGCCACAGCTTCCGGCTTTTTCTGTGTATGTGGTATAAAGGAACCAAACCAGAGCTTCATACATGCAAGGCAAGCACTCTACCACTAAGCCACCTTCCCAGCCCTTATAATTTTTTAAAATATTACCTTTAGCTAGGTGCCAGTGGCTTACACCTGTAATCTTAGCTACTCAGGAGGCTGAGATCTGAGAATCACAGTTCAAAGCCAGATGGAAAGTCAGACTCTTATCTGCAATTAACCATCAAAAAAACAGAAGTGGTGCTATGGCTCAAGTGGTACAGCTTTCGCCTTTAAGCTGAAGAACTGAGAGACAGCACCCAGGCCCAGAGTTCAAGCCCAACCCACAAAAAAAATTATCTTTAAGTAGTTTTAGAAAGGGATGCTTGGTGGCCCAGCTGTGGTGGCCCACACCTGTAATGCTGCTCAGGAGGCTGAGAGCTGAGGTTCAAAGCCAGCCTGGACAGGAATGTGCTCAGTTTAACTCTCAGTCTCCAGAAGTGAAAAAAAGCCAGAAGTGAAGCTGTGGCTCAAGTGGCAGAGCACTAGCCCTGAGCAACAAAAGGGAGGAGTTGACTTGAAATTTTTATTAGCAAGTTTCTGTCACCCTAAAATGAAATTGTTAGTGGGGCGCAGGTGGCTCATGCCTGTAATCCTAGCTAATCAGGTGGCTGAAATCTAAAGATGATCATGGTTCGAAGCCCAGACAGAAAAGTCCCTGTGAGACTCAAAAACCAAGTTGCATTGTGTCTCAAGTGGTAGAGCACTAGACTTGAGTACAAAGAAGCTCAGGGACAACACCCAGGACCTGAGTTCAAGCCCCACAACTGCAAAAAAAAAAAAAAAAAAGGAAAAGAAATTGAAACATCTAGCATTATAGTGATGAGAAAATGATATTGCAAACAATACTACAAGACTGAGGGAAAATCTAGTAGCACACACCCAAATGTAAAGTTAGCATTTCTTTAACTTAGCCATTATCTTACAAGTGGCTCAAATATGCACATGTATGCGTGTGAGCTCATGCATACTTGTCATTTAGTTGGTAATACAAAAGAATTAGATATAATCTACATATCTAACAGGAAACAAACAAGGTAGATCCATATGTATCAACAAGACTGTCCAAATTAAAAGTCCAGAAATAGCAGCATTTTAAATTATTTGGGGGGAAGACTTGGCAATAAGAGAGGGGAAGAAAACAACCTTACAGTTTACTTCTGTACTAAATTTAAGTATTGTTGTAGTAAGCAAGTTTACTTTTGTTAAAAAAAATAAAACTTGCCAGGCCCCTCTAAGTTACTCAGGAGGCTGAAATGAGGATTGAAGTTTGAAGCCAGTCTGGGCAGAAAAGGCTGGGTATCTCCAATTAATTACCTAAAAACTGGAAGTGGAACTGTGGCTCAACACCCTTGAGCAAAAAAGCTCAGGGACAGTGTCCAGGCCCTGAGTTGAAGCCCCATGACCAACAACAATAATAAAACCCTAACAATTCAAAATGCAGAAGACACAAAATAAATACTAATTGCCAAATACTTCCATGGAGTCAATCGTTAAAGTAGACAATATTATTTATTGTAAGAAAGACATAGGTTGGGCTGTGTTAAATACAAATATTTGGGGAAATGTGGATTGACACTTGTAACAAAAATAGTTGTCCTCCCCACTCTACACACACCTACTTTAAACATAATCACTAGCCCAGGTCATCTATGTCTTCCAATCTGTAAAGCATACCAAGAACATCTTAATGATTTTTTAAAAAAATTCTTTAGGTCCTAAATATTTAAGGGTCTCTGTGTGAAAAGCCCTTACTGGGTATTCCAATCTGAGTTAGGTGCCCCTCCTGTGGGTTCTCAGCGCCCAAGAGCATGATTGTGTTAAATGTACTTACTCCTTCATAACTTGGCCAGCACTCTACCACTTTTGAGCCACAGCTCCACTTCCAGTTTGGGGATAGTTAATTGGGAGATAAGAGTCTCATGGACTCTTCTGCCCAAGATGGCTCTGAACCGTACGTAGTAGTCCTCAAATCTCAGCATCCTGATTAGGTAGGATTCCAAGTGTGAGCCACCAGCACCCAGCTCCTTCATAACATTTTTTTTTGGTTAGGGGTCGGTCTTTGGGTTTGAACTTGGAGCTTTAGTGCTGTCCCTGAGCTCCTTCTGTTCCAGGCTAGTGCTCTACCACTTTGAGCCACAGTGCCACTTCCTCCTTCATAACTCTTAACCATATTGATGGCTTCCAGGGCCAAGTGCTCTATCTACACTATTGTTTCCTAAGAGCAATAAACTGACTAAATGAATACTGGAGTTTCCCCACCTAAGTTACCTTCTCACATGGGGTGGGGGGTGGGAGTCAGAAAGTCTAAAGTCTAATCACATACCATATAGGAGGTATATAATCACATACATTTTTCCTAGTGCAACCACTCAGGAAATGTGACAAAGGTATTCTAGTTATGTTTTGTTTGTGGTTGGTCATGGGACTTGAACTCTGGGCCTGGGAGCTGTCCCTGAGCTCTGAAGAGCTCAAGGGGAGTGCTCCATCACTTGAACCACAGTACAACTTTCGGTTTTCTGGTGATTAATTGGAGATAAGAGTCTCTCAGATTTTCCTGACAGGGCTGGCTTTGAACCCTGATCCTCAGTCTCCAGAGTAGCTAGGATTATAGGTGTGAGCCACTGGTGCCCAGCTCTAGTTATTTTTTTAAGCCATTTTATTTTAAAGATACCTAATAACACTTGGGGTTAAAATAAATGGTTCAACATAATGGGAGGGGATAGGGGATATAAAGGAAATGCTTTGGCTATGTGTTAACATTGATTTGGATATGGTCACATACAGTTAAAAATCTGAACCTTTTTTGGCAGCACTGAGATTTGAACTCAGGGCTTCTTCACACTTGCTGAGTAGGTACTCACTCTACTGCTGAGCTATATCTCCAGATTTTTTTGTGTGTAGTGTTTTTTTTTTTTGCTAGTTATTTTCAGATAGGGTCTCACTTCTCAGGTGCAATCTGTCTATTTTTTAGGCTACAAATGGAATTTTTTACTTTTTGAGGAAAGATCACTAAGTAGCTCAGGCTGGCCTGTAACTGTACATCAAGTCCCTCAGTTTCCTAACTACTTACATTACAGGGAGATACCACCATCACTGGCTTAATATACTACTGCTTCTTTTCTTTGGGCATGTTCTCATCCCTATTTGAAAGGAATCAAAACAATATGACCCTGGCTCAACTTAAGGAGCTTTTCCCATCTAGTGCCAGTATGGCAAAGAAAAATTCCAGATAGATTAAAAACCAAAAGTATAATATGCAAATGAGTTGGAAGCGGTGTCAAGTTCTTCTCTATTTTTTTTACTATCTACAGTAATCCCACTATTTAGAATAGGCTGTATGTTTTGTTCTGGGTCATTATCACCACCCTTTCCCCTGTAGACATGAATTTGAAATGCCAGTTAAATCACTTGAAACTTTGAATTTAGAATAAAGTGCAATCTATCATTAAAGGCATTAACATTTTAACTATGAACACCAAGTTAAAAATCAATAAAAAGCACTAAAACAAAAGGCAAGGCAAGGAGGCAGAGAAAGGCAATTGTTTTTCTCTTTAATGCAAAATACTCAAACACTCTATTTTGTATCAGCTGAACTGTAGTTTTCTACTTTTGTAAAGCTTAGGCTGGAAAGTTACTAAATGATGAAAAGAAACAAGTTAATAAGTTATGTGGTTAAAAAAAAACCTTTTAGTTACTTAATTATAACATATGTCTAGAAAGGAAAAAGGATCAATTACTAGCATAGCAGCAGGGCCACTGGTGGCTCATGCTAACTACTCAGAAGGCTGAGTTCTGAGGATGATTGTTCACAGTCAATTCATTCCATGAGATTCTTACGGCCAATTAACCACCTAGAAAAGGGAAGTGGCTAGTCTTGGGCAAAAAAGCTTAAAGACAGTGCCCAGCCCTGAGTTCAAGCCCCAAGACCAAAACAAACACGAACACAGCAAATCTTACTCTTAATGTGACAAATGGAGGCCAATGTTTAAAAAAAAAAATCCACATAACTTTTGTTTTTTTAAAGATTCACATCTTGTTGGGAGTGGTGGCTCACAGCTGTAATTGTAGTCACACAGAAGGCTGAGACCTGAAGATTGTGGTTCAAAGCTTGCCTGGAAGAAGAGTTGGTGAGACTGTCATCTCTAACCATTAAAAAAAAAAAGCCTAAAGTAGACCTGTGGCTGAAGTTGTAGTGCTAGCCTTAAACATAAAAAGCTCAGGAACATTGATTGCCCATTCTGAGTTCAAGTCCCCAGTACAGGCACAAGATTCCCATCTTGAAATCTGTAACAAATAGTGTGAATGAATCTGACAAATACCTTGCATAACAAATTCTACTATAGAATACTTTATATTACTCTTTAAAACACCTCAAAACAACTTTAGCCAAACACATTTTTTAAATGTAAAATAGCACCATTTTCCTGTATCGCAAAAGACAAACTTTATTCTATCCAAATACTGTGTTTTAAAAATGCAAGCACCTAATTTAATAATGCCTGAATGTTAGCTGGACATGGGGGCACACACCTAGAATTCTAGCTCTAAGGAGTCTGACTGAGGTAGGAGGATCTCGAGTTTCCAGGCCTGCCTAGACTTCACAGTAGTTTCAGGCTATCCTAGGCTCAGAGTGACTGACATGTGCCAAAAAAACAAACAAAACTGTGGGAGCGGCTCGAAGTGCTTGAGCGCCTGCCTTACGAGCTGAAGATCTTTGAGTTCAAACCCCAGGGCTGAAAGTTTAAAAAGCGGCCTGTTGCACTTTTTCCTCATAGCCTAGCCAGCAACTGCTTTAAAATTATGTTTGATTTTATGTGAAAAGTAAAACTGAAGTTCTCAAACCCTAAACGGTCATACTGGATATTTAACACTGGATAAAGAAATATCAGAAACACACTAACTGTATTTGCAAAGAGCCAGCATCAGGGCATTGTGGAAAGTGAACAGGACTTCAGAAGATTAAGTTTGGTTTCGCTAATTTCTTTCCAAGGGACTTGGGTTAGATGCTCCCCAGGCCCCCCAAATCTTCACCTCTAAACGGGGGGGTGGGGGGCTCTTGCTCTTCCACGTCGGGGGCAAAGAGGGTCGACTGAACTGAGATAGAAGAGAAAGCCTTTGACAACCGCCTATCTGTCAAACGTCTGTAAACCGAATTACCGCCCCCCCCAAGCTCCAAAACTGAGCCGCTCTGGAATCAGAGACGGCCACTCTTATCCCCCCCCCATTAAGCTGGTCGGGTGTCTGTCTAGATCACGACGCTGAACCCACATAACGGAAGACGGTGCCCTTCTCTCCATTCCGTCAGGCGACAGCAGCGATCGCCAAACGCGCCCAGCCTTCCTTTCCCGCGTCGCCCCGCCTCACCCAGGTGCTTTTCCACCCCGCCACGGGCCGGGCTGGACTTCCTCG